GATTCTAATGTACACTCAGGGCTGAGAAACCCTACAATGGTTTATTTTTTAAGCACTCAAGAAATATTTGTTCTTTGAGTGAATGAAAACATTGATAAAAGTTTGGTTATTAACTTTAAAGCCACATGTCAAGAGAGTTAAAACCAAAACTAGGAACTAAGTACTCAAGAATTGTTTCAAATTGTTTGATAAATTTACATCAAGAAAATGGTGCCCCTCAAACATATAGCAGCAAAATCTTTCCTCTGCTAACAGGCTTGCTATGAGGAAAAGTGGACTGTAGGCAGCTGTTAGCAGAGTTTATCTTTGGTGTCTTTTTACCTCTCTCTGCATTTCTAGTGCCTGTTCTTTACTTGCCTCCTCCCTTTGTCCCCATCATGCTTTTCTCCTTTCTCTTTCTCTCTTCAGCCTCACTCCCCTTACTTTATTGGCAAGGAGTTCAGGTAAATGTTTATGGCAGCCTCTCTAGGAGATTAACATTTAAAAGGGGGAGTTTGCTAATTTACTTGAATCTCCAATTGGTGACTGGAGATTCATGACCTTTTTGAGTAGATCTCCTTTCCAGATACTCCTCGATTAAAATTTTCATTCATGTAAGGACATAAAACAGGGATCAGAAAATTGGTAACCCATTTCAATAAAGTAGCTGACTCTTGCTGTAATGTCTTCTCTGAGATGGTCTGTAGGTAGATTTGACAAGATGAAGGGAAATTGCGTAGAACTTTTTGGTTGCCCAGGATGCTATGATAATTTGTTGACTTGAAAGTGAATTTAATGGCTACCCAAACAAATCCTGAAACCTTGCATAGTTGATTCTGTTACTAGTGCTACAAATATGTGGGTATGTTTCAGCCTACTTGCAGCTGCTCCCTCTGCTTCTTTATACCTGTTTATGCACATGATCAGTAGGTCTGTGAAACAGATTTAGGAATTCTTACATCAGACTGTGCCGTGTCCTGGATAATCACATGCTTTCCTGTAAACCAGAAGTCAACTCTAGTATTTCCTACATGTGTGGGTTCACCTTTTCAACTGTAGGACATGGTGCATTGTATCAGGTTGTAAAATGGAGCCAGATAAACACAGCATTTGGTTTTATTAGGTGAAGGTCTTCTCAATGCATTTAGTGGAATGAGCTCATGATTGTGATTTTGTGGCCTTATTCAAATATCTGCCTTATTTTGTGTAATAAACATCTTTTTGAAAAATCAACTGTGAAGCACATTTTTGACAGTTGACTCATTTTTTAGTTGCTATAGATTGAATCTGAATTACTGAACCTTGTAGTGATTTATTCAGTGATAAGTTCTACAGCATAAATAGTTATCCCTTAATTTCTTTCATTTAAAATAAAATCTTATCTTTAATTGAAGGGTGCATTCATCATTAAGATAATACCAATTATATAACTCTTTATAAATTTCTAAGTACTTTCATATATATTTTCATATATATTATCCTATTGTATTCTAATAATAACCCTGTAAGCTTAGCAGAGTACATGGTAATTGCTCCTTGAGATTGAGAGAGGTTAAGTGATTTGTCCAAAGTTAAATGGTGAGTCTGGCAGAGTGCGTGGGTCAGAGCCTAGGCTTTTCTACTCCAGAGCTATCCTAGTGTTATTTCCATTGTAACACATTCTCTCTTTTAAAAAATGCTGTTATTAAACACCGTGCCAATAAATAGGTTATTTATTCTGAAAATTCAATGCTTATTTAACTTCATAGGCTATATCGTTTTTATTTGTGGTATCGTGTGTTTTGTTTTGTGTGTCTTTGCATAGCTATCATGCCTTTCTTTCTTATGATTTTAGAATAGATTCATTAAGCAAGCATTTATTGAACTTCCAACTTTGGAAACATGATTATGGCTAATAGAAAGACATGGTTTTTGTTCTTAAAGAGTTTATAAAATA